CCCCAAAACCCCAAAACCCCTCTAGACAGATATTATTTGGAGTTGAGAAATAAGAAATTAAAGTGTATAATCTGGGTGATGGCATCTATCTATTAATTCTTTTATTTTATTGAAATTTAAAATTATAGGACTTTGAGGATTAATTATTGTTATGGCATCTTAAATTCTTCTATAAAATTTACTTGGAAACGAATACAATTTTCAAGTAATTCTAGCTATCATCTTTATTATATCTTTAGGAAATCATCAAAGCCTTGAAGAAAAACGAAACTGACAGATCTGATGAAGACATAAAGCTGCTCTCTCAAATAACATAAGTATTTTTCAAAGATAAGGGTGAGACAGAGATAATGGAAATAACTAAGCAACTTCATTTCGAACACTTTCTTAAAGATGATGTAGTTTTTGAGTTCGGAAGTCAAGGAGACAAATACTATCTTCTTATCAGAGGTGAAGTAGGGGTAATGGTGCCTTGTAAAAAGTAGTTAGAGATTATAAACATCTTCGAAAACCTTCAGGGAGATGGAACATGAAGTCCTACAAAATTAGGTGCAATTAACCGAAATAAAAGCATTGCTTCAGCATCAGGTGAATTTAACAAATTGTTCAACACTGAATTATGCCAATTTAAGGAGCTAGATGTAATCTAAGAAAGTGAAGATGTAGTTTCTCCTCCTCAGGGAAATATGGCAGATATAAATGAATAAAGAGCACTGTTGAATTCTTAGAGATCCAATAAGAAGAGTCAATTAAATCTAAACATCAACGTAAATTAAGTCCAAGCTGAGCAAGTTCAAGTCCTTCTTGAGAGAAAAAAATCAATAGTTCCTATTCCCAGAGGCAGTACGCTTCGCCCCGCTAATGTTCGACTCAACTAGAATGCCTAAGGTATATTTAAGCATCATGGCAAACTTCATCTTATATCTAAAACAAATCCTTTCAAAACTGCATTTGAGGAAACATTCGTATTCAGAAGTGGTTAATCTTTTGGTGAATTAGCCCTTATGCAAAACAAGCCAAGGTCAGCTACGATCTTATGTTTAACTGATTGTTACCTTGCTTCTTTGAATAAAGTTTCATTCTAGAATGCTATTTAAAAGGGTATGTAAAGAGCATTAAATGATAACATAGAGTTCCTTAAAACGATTCCATTTTTTTAAGGCTGGACTAAAAATTCACTAACCAAATTTCTTCTTCACAGCGTTGAAATTCAAAAAACTGTAAGAAACTAAGTAATCTGCAGAGAAGGTGAGAATTTGAACTACGTCTACTTTGTGAAATCAGGGGAGTTCAAAGCAATATAGAAAGGAGAGATTGTTGAGGAGAAAGATGATTTCATTAGAATGAGAGTCTCCCACAAAAACCAGCCTAAATCTGAATCTAGTAGTTCAACTAGAATAGTTGATCCATATAAAATGAATCAAATATCAAATGCAAGATAGCTCTAAAATTAAGTTAAGCTCAATGTTAACAATGATATTTGCAGATATGGAGTTGGTCAAATATTTGGAGAGATGGAATTCCTGAACAAGGATAAATCAATTCTGACTGTTTAATGTGATACTTAGTAAGGAGAACTCATTTGTGTTAAGCTCAGTGAATTTCAGAAAAAAGTAAAGCCTAACGATTCAGGCTTTAAAGTCCTGTTATTCAATGCTCAAAATAAAACTTAAAAAATAGCGAAACTTAAATAAATTACTGAAGAATTGGAAAAAGATTGACAGAAACAAAGTCATGATAAGCTACTTAATTAGATGGAATAAAATAAGAATATACTGGTGAATCGTGGAGAATAGGATTATAGAGAAACATTAACTGAAATTGTAAAAAGATATCCTTTTATTGAGAGATAGAAGATCAAGATATTTGAAATTGAAAAGTAACAGCAAGAATATTTTGTCGAGCAGAAGAAGGCTCAGTTGAATCAGAGTGTAAATACTGCTCCTACGAATAAACATAAGAAGTTAAGAAAAGACATGAATAAGACACACTTATCAAATTAAATAACTTAAGATTTGATAGACTATGACAAAATAGCAGAAGCAAACTAATGCAAATTTGACGATAATCCTACTCATAAAAGTTAAATTTAAGTACCTAAAGCACCAAGAGCTACAACTATGGCGAGACATATGCAAGAAGTCTAAAACTCACCTGATTAGTTAAAATCAAGCACAAATTTATTGGCTAAGCCTATTTGGATTACCAGAAAAACACTAAAGGCATGCTTCTCAGATAGGAGAGCTCCGACTTTAGAATCTATAGTTTATGATTAACTTAAAAAGGAGAAGAAATGCTATATGAGCTCAAAACTAGACACAGCTGTACTTGATTAGTTTACTTCAAGGAATTAGCAAGATGAAAACTTGAGAACTGACAAGTAAGCTAGACTTGAGGATAAGCCAAAACCTGCGCTACCAAAATTTATGCAAAATCTTGATAATAATCCATCAAATGTCCCTAACCAATAATTATAGACAAGAATTTTATCTCAATCATAGTTTAGTTACCGTAAAAGTGAGACTTAAATGTCTTTACCCATGGAACAATAAGTAGGTCTGCCTAAACTTCATTTATAGAAATAAATTCTTAATACTACTCAGGACATTTTAATCAGCAATATGTCAAGATACAGATCTTAGAACAGTTCTCCAAAAAATAGCTAGATGATGTAGTCATTTCATAAAAAATCATAGAATTAATTTTTCTAAAAGCCAGGACTTTCCCTCAATACATAATTGTACGATGACTCAAAGTATATGAAAATAGCATCGACCTTCATCTCCCCAAGAACTGAAAGCAGCTTAAATCTAAGCTTGAATAAAATTAAAAACATTAGAAATGCTAAATTAGTATTATGAGATGAATTGCCCTAATTTAAGGATGATTAAGTATTGATATTTTATTCATTTAAAATCTATCTATAATTACAATTAATTTCTTAATTAAATAATTATTTATGATACTATGTAGTATTCATGATTAATGGGGTTTTGGGGTTTTGGGGTTTTGGGG